ATCTATCTATCTATCTATCTATCTATCTATCTATCTATCTATCTATCTATCTATCTATCTATCATCTATCTATCTATCTATCTATCTATCTATCTATCTATCTATCTATCTATCTATCTATCTATCTATCTATCTATCTATCTATCATCTATCTATCTATCTATCTATCTATCTATCTATCTATCTATCTATCTATCTATCTATCTATCTATCTATCTATCTATCATCTATCTATCATTCATCTATCGTCTGTCTGTCTGTCTGTCTGTCTGTCTGTCTATCTATCTAACAATTACGCATCCTCACCCGCCTCACCTCCTGCAACGGCAACAAATTGAAAAAAAGTCATTTGTTAATATTGGACCTATTTTATTTATCGGAACGATGCCGATATGTTAAAAAATGGCTCACATCGGCCGATACCAATATTTATGGCGCTATACTGTTTATCTCTAATGCATAGGACTGTTTACCAAGCTCAAGAATAAAATAGAACTAAATTAACAAACATTTGTCTCATTGACTGACGCTGGCAGAGAAAACTCCCAAAACATTCTCGCTGTACTGAAATCTTCAGCTCTTAGGTGGAGAATGACAATTTTTGGCCACTCTGAAAAAGTTCTGCGTTGTTGGCTGAAAACAGGTGAGAAGAACTGGCTTTGCTATGGTAAGATCTGGAAAGCAGACTGTTGTTTATCCAGCTTTGAAAAAGGATGTGCCAGTCACCAACAGTTTGACAACCTGGGAGCAAAATAGATCAAAGAACCAATAAAAATAATTCATTTGTTGTCACATAACATGTCTGTTCTGTTCTCCTTGAAGCAGCTTTGTTTCCCAGTCATGTTTGTGCTGATGTGGGTCAGATTAGGGCCTTTGAGCCACTAACCCATTCACTGTAATGCAGCTAATAGAAGGAAGCAAACACCATTAGCTTTAAACGTATACTTAAAATAATCTAATGATCATTGTTCATATTCAATGCAGATTTATTTATTTGTATGCTGAATTGTTTAGACCATAAATAACCAAAACTTTATAAGAGATAATTCACTAGTTTGGAAATTGGGACGATTAATAAACAATTTTCTTTTTGGCTGATTTCAGGTTTGAGAAAAGAATCCTGTACTTGTCCTTTCATACATCCATTACCAATGTCTGGCTTGGAAAATCTTCTTTGAATCTTGCAGCAACAAGTGACTAAAGGGTCATCACAATATGTGCATATTATTTTCCAATCCATTTGACTACACTGCATCATTTTTAATGTATATTTGAGTGTTTTTTTAACCAACAGTTTGTTTCTTATCTGTTTTTTGGAGTTTGTATCTAATGGAAGGGAAAAAGAGTCTAGACACTGTTTTTGCTGTATGAATACAACACTGACTATTTCTGATTCAACTGGTCAGAATGGGACTAGTTACAAAGAAACAGTGGAGGATATGAGATAATAAATCATGAAGGATAAAAATGCCACCAAGACAGAGGTGGTCATCTAAAGGGCACCAGCTGTAGCAAAAGTGCATAAACTGATTAAAATCCTACTCTTTAACTTAACCTTTCATTCCTACTTGGGCCACGGGGAGTTTGCGTCTGTCTCCAGCAAGCGAGAGGCGGGGCTACACCTGTACAGGTCACCAGTACATCACTGGTGTTTATATGTTGGGATGCAACATGTTTACCACTCTGCTCACCCCAAAGCTACAGTGTAGAATTAACTGAGTGGATAAAGGTGGGTTTTAAAAGTGATTCTCTTTTGGGCTTTTATTGTGTTTTTCTTGGGCATTAAATGTTTATTTCCTCTAGTGTTTGTATTCTTATATGACATAAAAAGTAGCCTATTGTTAGAAATAAATCAAATTGTAAATAAAAACAAATAAATAAGCACTTCAATTCAAATCCAGTCTGCCTAATAAAAAACAGATCTAAATTACACAGAATAAAACTTTATTAGCATAAAAGCTAAAGTTCAGGGCACTAAGCAAGTTAAAGGTGCAGTGTGTAAAGTAAGGTGACATCATGTGGTCACATTTTGTTACTGCAATCTCTCTCTCTCTCGATCCAATTCTATGAGTTTTATGGCTGTTGCCAGTTACAGATCAGCGCCAGAAAGTTCTAGATGACGTGACGTGAAGTGAAAACGAGTCATACGCAGTAAAAAAAAATAAATACATTGTCCTATCTGGTGTTAGCACTCTGGGGTGTTTTACGAGAGCACTTGCTACACTTATTACGGTAACAAGCCTCCAGCATAGAGTCTAAGTCACACCCATCTACTTCCAGACCAGACGAATGAAAAAAAAAATGAGTGCAATTCAATGGGGCTTTATAAGCCATTTTGTAATCCTGTTAGTTATGCTCCATGAATTTCACATCTGATGTCCATGAATTTTCAAGACACATTCCGATGCTAAGAAAGCGCTTATTTTAAAACGGGGGGAAACGTTATTTAAGGTTTTGTGTGAAAATACCTCTAGGACTACAAATGCGCATCACCAAATTGACATCATCAATCCAGACACAGCAGAGGAAAGATGGCTGTAAGTTCAGCAAACTTCAAATCCTTCAGGAGGAAAGAACCGCCATACATCTGATGAGTAAGGCAACACAGATTAGAAGAAGCAACAGTGGTGTTCTTCTGAGTTGTGGTGCCCTCATGGATGGGGCCATCGGCTGACACACTGCTGCTAACTTAGCACTCTTCCTTTCCTAATAATAACATTTTACTTTCTTTGACATGGAATGTGCTACTACTAGTTTACCCGTTTAATTATAGATTCACTAAGATAAAGACAATAAAGTTTATCTCTTACTAAATAGAAAAGAAAAAGTAGCTTGAGATATTTTAGAGCCGACGAATGCTTCTGATTCACCGTTAGCATTGTTAGCTCAATGTTAGCCTGTAGCCTTCTTTATCCAATATTAGAGTGTAACAAACACAAATGTCAGCTCTGCAGCGTTAGCTTGCAGGAGACACGGCACCCTCACACTCACTGATGGCAAATAGTAGCTACATCTGTCCATTGTTTATTTTGAAAGAAGAAAAGTTGACAATCCCCACAGCCGATTGAGAATGAAATATAAAACCTTTCTTTTAATATGACTGAGACATTAAACAGTTATGGGATTATTTCACTTCATTGTTTTACTTTATTCTTACACACTTCACCTTTAATATTGTTAATCATAATAAAGCCACTAAATATATAAACATTGTTTTGAGATCTTATTTCCCAATAATCCTAAAGTCTAAAATGTCAACAGGCTTTCCTCACATTTACGTGATTTTTATTACTTGCCTTGAGACCATGATTCTCCTCTGGGTTTATGAGTTTTCAACATGCATAAAACACGGTTATTTCATACAGGTGCAGCTATGTCAACGCAAGTCAACAAGTAAACCGACTGTGTCAACAGACTTGTCATGTGACCGCTGTGAGGTCATCACAGCCACTCCTCATAGGAGGAGGACATAACTAGGGACGTCCCAAAAATAACCAAGTGAGACAAATACAAGTCGGGTGGACGATGAGGAGGAGGAACAAAGCGGGACATCTGTAGACATCCCAGAGTCCGAGTCAGAGTAAACAAACACGGGAAGGCTGTGATGAAAATGTCTGTTTTAAAAGATGCAAGAAGAATAATCAGAGTGGACATCATAAAAACCCAGAGGAACAAAGACGAATAAAGAAGATGAGCTCAAAGGAACTCATATTAATGTATCCCCATTAATCATTTGTTAATAAAAATCCTTCATGAAATAACAGAAAAGTCTAAATCTGAACACACTTGAAGCCTCTGAGAGGAGAAGCTTTTATCTCTGCTGAGCGATGGAGTACTGCTGTGAGGGATGCTAGTAACAAAGAATAATCGTTGAAAAACGGAAAAAATCTCCAAAGCTTTACACCATCTGGTTGCTATGCAACAACTCTATTACTTTAAGCAACATGACCTGAAGTAACATAGTGTTTGTGAAAATGAAAGAAGGATGCATTCATGGATTTCATGCAATTCAAACATTTGTTAAACCAACGATTGCCCCAAAACCCTCACCGCTAAAATTCAAAGCCGGAATGTTTCATCTTTAACATGTGATCTGTCGTTTGTTGCTGCTTGATTCTGTAAAGGTTTTACAGAAACATCTTGATGTTTAAGGTTCGTCCTTAACCGATGCAGCGACTCTTAGAGCTGCAACTGCTGTGAGAGTTGCTTAACTGTTTGTGTGAGTCTTCTGTTTCCTCGCCTGAATCTCTGAACTTCGCTGGAATTCAGAACATGTCAGGAACAAATTTGAGCAAAAAGTTTTCCTCTACAAACCACCAAAGAATCTGCCCTGGACTCAGTTTAATTCCGTGAGTCAGAAAGTTTGAGACATTTGTCAACAGATTTGTGACTAAATCCAGAGCACAATGCAAACAAACTTAATTTGTAATTAAGACAATTTGGGACTAAACTGCTGCAGGAAACCTGCACTGATCTTGCAGTTTGTTAGCGAACAAATCATTCCTGGGATTCCAAATGAAAATTTTATATATGTCCACCTGTCGCCAACGGTCACACACCAGTGAGATACTGGATTTAATGGTTTCATCATAAAATATTTCTGCAGGATATCTGGTATTCTAGAGTGGTTGTTTAACAAACAGGACCACCCAGACAATAAATACTCAGCTCAGTCATGTGTAAGGCTCCAGACCAGGAGGAGCTGGTTTAGAAAAGCTGAAATGAAACGGATTCTTAAACACTGCTAACCGATTCATCAGCCCTGGTGTGTGCCGCCCTCTGTGGATGGCTTTAATGGAAAACCTATTCCATAAAATGATAATTCCTCTCCATGTTGCATGATCTCAAATGCAGCAGCAAAGACACCGTAACAAAATAAAAGCCTCCCAGTAGCCTCCTGTGAAATTCCCACTTCTCAACAGTCATTTAACTGTTGCAGGTGTTTTAATTTAGATCACCATTACAATGTTTTTTAAGATGCATTAAACACATCTGCCTACCCATCTCAGGATGATGCCTTCCCTCAACAGGAACACTGACGGTGCGGCGCAGCAGCTTGTTCCTGTGCGTCTCTGAGCGCCTCTCGCGCATCAGCAAAGGATGGACCTGCAACCCAAACACACAACATCAACACAAAAAAAATACCCAATCACAACATTTCACATCCTCTACAGATTATTGCTTTCAGAAACACATTCAGGTTTTCATTTTGTTATTATTAGTTTGGTGCAGTTGTGCATCTTACTGCAGAATTCTGCATTTAATTGGAGATAAACTATATTAAATGACATTTAAAAGACAGTATAATCACTGAGATGTCAACTACGTTAAGCCAAAACAACACCACAGCTGTCTCTCTGTTCTTTAGCCTTAGCACCTCATTCAGACATCTAGGGCAGAAACAGGCTTTTCTGGAGGCAAGCCTATAATCATAAATTTCTCATTCAATGCACAGAAAGGCAAAAGTGAAAGAAAATGTATAAAATAAATCACATTTCACTGTGCTACCACAGTCGGCCCCAAAGTCCCTGAATTCATTAAAGTGAAACTTGAGGGAGAACATCGGGGAGGATGAGCAGAACCAATCAGAACCTCTGGTTCTTTGGGAAAATGAACACGTACACTTAAAAAACTGCAGAGAAAAACACTATAGAGTCTAAGAAGCCGATGTTCAAATGGGACACCATAAAATTAAACAGATTTATGAAACTAACTCAGAAATTCATAGTAAAGTTATTTTTGCATGATAACACTGTGAAACTGTCCTTAATGTGTTGTATTGTCTTACTGTTTTGTAGTTCAATGTCTATTTGTGTCTGAATTTTATCTCATTTTTCTGATTGTAAATAAATAAATAAAATTATTTATAAAAGTTTCACGGGGACAGAAACACGCTGACAGGTCACGCTGAGACAAACTTCCCTTGAGACAATGAAGCGCTTCTCATTTCAAAGCAGCTCTGCTAAGATAAAAGTGTGTGTGTGTGTGTGTGTGTGTGTGTGTGTGTGTGTGTGTGTGTGTGTGAGCTGCTTGCATTCGTGAATGTGGGCCAAGGCTACTATTCAGTGTATGTCCTTTCAAGCAAGGGCACATAAAACTTTCATGCAAACTCTCAAATTGAAGCGACTTTTCTTTACTACTGGTGTGCCGTTGCATCACAGCTCATGCTCTGCTGCAAACATTTGGATAGTTTCACTTCTCTTTGTTACACTTCATAAGAATTAGGGCTGCACAATATATTGCAAATATATCATTATTGCGATATAAGCATTAACAATATGCATATCACAAAGAAAAGATAAATATCGCAGTAAATGGTCAGCTCAAATGTTTGCTACACATAATGCAGTCTGTCAATCAAACGGACGCATGATGTTTTTTTAACAAAGTAAATAGAGCTCTTCACCAACTGGGTGGGTTCTCATAGGTTAAATGCCCGCCTCCGAGGCGGACAGCACTTAGTTTTGATGGTTAGCAAACACCTGAGTTAGCTTTGTTCTGCACTTTCTGCTGATTCTGCTTTTCCCAGGATCCACTGGTTGCCTTTTCTTATTAATTTTCTTTTTCCCTTTCCTCACATATTTTGCTTTTCCCATTTTTATGATTTTTAGTCATTTTTTTTATTTCTTTGTTTTTGATTATATTTGTTCCTGAGTTAAGTTTTTATTTATCGCAAGTAATATCGTCATCGCAATATTAATCACTGTTATCGCATATCGCAGGTTTTCCTAATATCGTGCAGCCTTAATAAGAATAATAAATTAGCAAAATTCTTATAAAATGACAAATTAAAAATGTACTAAGCAGCATCCGTTCTGTACTGTGTTCCCTTAAGGGGTTAACGTTGTGTCTTACAATTATTCTACAGTGCTCATTCACAACAATTTTCAATAAATAAACCTGTAGTGTGAATGAATAACTTGTGCAATTCTCTGTGGTTAGAAAGCTCTGGCGCTTCTGTTTTGGGGGCATAAGTTTGTTGGAGGAGTAGCGGCGACAGCATTTGCAGTCTTACTTGTGAATATTCATGATATGCAAATGTATCACATCTGATTGGCTAACAGCAACACAACTCTTCCAATGCTTCTATTAGCAAAAATGTTATGTCCGATCAAAATGTCTTCAGTCTTATTCATATGATCCTGAGTCCATGGAGGAAGGAGAACTAGAAGAATATTTTCTCCACCTCTTCATGTAGTCGCCACCTCCACACCCACTTTTTCAGCAATTTCCCTTTACGAATTTAAGGTTTGCTGCATTTTTATATTCCTTGAGTTGCTGGTGTATACATTTTCATATCATTGTTTTTTTTTTTCAGGGGGAGTGGCATGCTGACCATTCACAAGCTTGTACCTTCTAGCTTTTGATGGAAAGTTGAGAAATTGGGCACATCTCCATCACCCTCAGAGGGCCTGCCATAGAGTACTTGCGTTGACACATCATGGCGTTGCGTTTCTCCTTACTGCCGCAGACAGAGAGGTATAAACAAGGCTTTAGGCTGAGCCCAGATGGGCTATGGAGGATATTTGTATATCAAATTTCTTCTTGTAGTCATGATCCAAAACTTTAAACTATATCTATTTGATATTGGTTTTTTAAGCTATAAAAACTCAAATGAAATCAGACCCAACAAGAACTTAAAAGCAAGTCCGCTCAGCCCCTTTAGCTTCAGTTTAAATCATGTCAGTGAGAACAGCTTTTATTCCAGATGAGTGTGGTAAACAGCAGCAGCGTACGGCTAAATACTCTAGTAAACAGAACCAATATGCTCCTCTCCAACGAGCAGGAGTAAAGCTGAATTAACCTCAAGTCTGCATTGATCAGTGGTGCAAATAAAGCCACACTTCCAAACGGCAGCAGAAACTCTGCAGCCTCATAGTGCTTCCAAATACATGCGTCAACAGAGCGGTTTCATAATGCCATCACAGAGCCAGCTGACTGGAGGGGGAGTATGGAGGAGTAGCGGACTCATACAGCAGGTAATCTCTCTGAATGGTTCTGTAGTTATTACAGGGATAGCTGTGATTTTCAGCTGGGCTAAAATGATGCTTTTCATCAGTTGCCATGGGATCCAGAGGAGACAAAACAGGCTGCGCTCACTTTGATCTACAATGTGAGTTATGAGAACGTTTGTTAAATCGGGGCATCCTGCAGGTTTGTGTCTCACACATACAAATGGAGACTTTCGACTGATTCCAAAAGTTCGACTCCAGAAGTTCTGACCAACAACAAAGAACTAAGTATGCTAATTTACTTCAGTCACATCTGCTTGAACAACAAGCTCTTCCTTTCTCCCCACTGCTGCTGCATTACACAATCCATCAATGACAACTTGCCTCATGAAATAAATAAATAAATAAAAGACCCAGAAGATCTTTTCATGCCACCTTGTCACTTCAGACCACCAACGAGCATCCCACCACTGCACCCAGCTGAGGGAAAACATCTGGAGGCAATTTTCCTCTCTCTGTGTGAGGCAGAATTTAATTGGTCAGATGCCACAAACTGCACCTGGAGATGTGACATAACACCAGCTCTGCGGTTGTCATGAGTGGGCGCAGGAAGTTGGCAGACCTAGAGAGAGAGCGAGTTAGCTTCTGATTCACACGCACTCTCAACCACTTCAGCGGGTGGAGGAACTTGCAAACACATTCACATCTTTCGACTGAGTGTGCAGTTTACCAGAAATAAGATGTGGCCCAGTGTGGTGCCACCTGGAGCAGCGAGCAAACTTTATACTGACAAATGTTAAAGCTGAGTATGTTTGAAGGAAGAATTTATGCGTTGCAAAAGGCCAAAGCCAGAGGAAGGAACACAAATCTGTTATAACAGAGTAGGACAATGTGTGGAAAGACTTCAGAACATTTCCACAAATTTGTAATTTAGAGTTAGCTTTGGAAAGATGTTTCCATTTTCAAACAAACTCTTAAATTCAAGTATTCTTTGGTGAAGCTGTGTTTCTCCTAATGAGGTAGGAAAAAAACACGTTTTTACAATGGGAACCCAGTTATTTACATGCAAGTTTGAACTACAACAACCCCACAAACTGCATCTAGAGGGAAACTAAACTGAGTAAGAAGTGTGTCATTTTTCAAATAATGTGATGATGAAACAGCATTTGTACAGATTAGTATTAGCTGCTATGTGCTAACAGGTGCTATACTAACATATTGCCACACCTGGGAAATAATAATCACAGTTATCTCATGTTAACTGAGATATTCACCTGTTAACATGTCCTTTAACATTATTTTGCTGTCTTTCATTAACACTATTATCGACTGATTCTGTTGCCGATATGTATGAATTGTTATTGAATGAATGAATGAATGAATGAATGAATGAATGAAATCTTTATTTCAAACATAATAATAATAATAATAATAATAATAATAATAACAATAACAAAGTCATTGTAGACATTAAACATAAAATCACACTGATAATCACACAAAAAATTAAGATGTAGATGTCACTGTCAGCCGATATGTGCTGCCGATTTTTTTGGCAGATTTTCACAACCAGTATCTAGGTAGTTCACCTCATGTATGCTAAATGTCACTAATGGCAACAGTGGCTGCACAACATTTCTGTACCTGAAGCAGTTTCTGAATTTAACCAACTGTTAATCTTAATTTTTACACTTCACACTATCAAAATTAAACAAATGACCAGAGTTATTCATACAAACCAACGAACTGACCAAGTATTAATGATAAAGCAGGTCAAATTAAATGTCAGTTGACAACACGAATATACATTTAAATAAAATTTGTCAGCAGCACAGAGCTGTCCACAGATGTGCCTGTTTTTAAATCGGCTCCACTAAAGGGGTATATTAGTCGATGCCGGGAAAAAATGGTAAATATCGACTTGTTATGTCAATAATGGTCTATCCCTACACACTATCATCAGGGTTGAAGTGTGTCAGGCTTAGTGTGCGTCATATCTATAACGGTTCGGGCGGAAACATGGTCAGTATTTCTTTTTGCAGATCTTCATGATCTGATGTCAACAATCCACCCACCTATATGTAAATGTTTTATTAAACATGTTGTATTATAAAACTGCAGTTTGAGATTCATGCAGAAATCTGTTTTATCTAA